ATTGATTACAATTTAGTTATAGTTTTAAACAACGGATCGATCGCAGAGTCGGGAACACCGGAACAGCTCTTAGCGGACAACACATCCATCTTCTACTCAATGGCCAAACAGGAAAAACTTGTCTAAAAATGAAAACTGTGTGTACAGTGGCTTTTACAATAAATAAATCATGATAAATGTTATAATTTGTAATGCAATGCTTATATAAATATTATTACCGGTACTTAAAATTAACAAAAATAAATTTTAAAATTAATATATACATATTGTATATAAAAATATTGATATAATATTAAATTATAATCAAATGTATGAAACTATAATAATTAAAATGCAGTAATTTATTATCGTCAGTCACTGAAAAATTATTTTCGACCATGGTCAGGTCTAGCATTTATTTACAAAGTTTAAAAGTAAATCACAAGAAGTAAGCTGACATTCATTTACAGTAGTTTAATTTCAAAATGTTTTAATTAATGTTTTAAAAACTTTATTATTAGATACGGACTATCATGTAATAGTCAACACGTATATCAAATGAATTCATTGATACATAATGTACTGAACACGATTACTGTACACTGAACCAACATAACTTATTTCTATAGAATTTAATGTACCTGTATTGATAATAGTGACATGTTATAGAAATGATAATTTAAGCGTATATAAATTGTAATGTATGTGTTTTGTGGTACACTATTTCACTAAAACTAAATCTAATTTCATAATAAGCATGATTTGACTGAATCACAATAAATATGCCATGCTGGAATATTAGATACTACGATGATTAATATACATTATTTACAAATATGATGAAATGTAATCAAAATCATGTGTAAAACTTATTTTAGTAAACAATAAGTTATATAACTCTAACGTATAAATACAACTAACTTTACAATATTATATTTAGTTTGTAAACTTTATTTTATTTATGCACTTCTTGTCATTATTAGAAAAATAAAACTTTTTTTTAGCAAAATGTTATAGAATTAATAATCGTAATTGTAATTAAAAAATATTATTTCTAATTTCATCAAGACTACTTAATATCTCACAATGAATTACGACTTGTACACCGAATTAACCATAGTTATTATACCAATAATCATGTTACTTTATGACAGCTACAGTAAGCCAAGGATATCAACATCAATTAAAGCAACACAACTTCACACATGGACTATCACAAAAACTGTATGAAAATTTTTACTACTTGTACTCACTTTTAATTAAATTTTTATAATTTTTATAAGTAATTATTAAATTGAAATTAATAAAAATTAACAAAGTAACTAATTTTTAGAATTATTTAAAAATATGTTTTAATAGACGCTAACGACTGTATTATTAGCGCTAAGTTTTGATCAACTCTTGGCTACACTCGAGAACACAAGTAATGAATATAATGTTGCAAATGTTGCCAAACTGTTTACACCGGTTGTCAAGTGTTTATGTTTTGTAAGTATTGAGTAATTAATAAATAATTGAGTTTATTCATTAAATAATTATTAAATGTTTATTTTATTTATAGATTTATGTAATCATTTTGTCCACAACTTCACCGAAATGTGGTCTCAATTCACAAGTTTTGTTCAGATTTTGGCTGTTTTTGTCGATCGAAACCGCTTTCATGATCTCTTTGCCAAAACAATGGCCGACATTAGACTCTTTAGACGACATCAAAGTCTTCACATTTACCACAAAATCGCTTTCATTGATAATAATTATCACTCAATTATTTTTGTCATATTGTGCGGACTCAACACAACAACAAGTGTTTACAAGTGTTGACGAAACACAAGTAAGTATTTATTTAAACTTTTATAACTTTTAACAGTAATAATAATAAAAAATATATTATAATTTAATTATGTGTTTAATTGTCAGAAATGCTCCAAAACTGGCGCTTCATTCGTATCTCGGCTGACATTTTCATGGTTTACACCAATGATTATGAATGGCTATCGGAAACCATTGACCACTGAAGACATGTGGCCACTGGAGGCCCACAATATGGCCAGTAATTGTGTCCAACAATTCAACAAACACTGGCGTCCAGTAACCGAAAACAAGATCAAAGCACCGGTCAATATATTGCCCCCAATTCTGCGGACATATGGCCCGAGTTTAGCACTTAATTCAATGTTAAAACTGTTATCAACTCTACTAACTCTATCACAACCTGTAATACTCGACCGATTGATCACGTTTTTAACCGCCAGTGACCAGAGCGTAGCTGAACCCGATTGGATCGGCTATACATATGCATTGTTGTTGTTTGCGTGTCCAGTGCTGGCCTCAGTTCTGGACGCACAGCACGGCTACTGGTCTAATGTGATTGGTTTGCGAATCCGGACATCAATTACATCAATACTTTACGAAAAAGTCTGTGATTTTATGTCAAAGTAATTAAATTAAATACTAACTAAACTTTTTTCAATAACAGGCCGTAAAACTGTCGAGCAATGGCCGCAAAGACATCACCGCCGGTGATCTGGTGAACCTGGTCTCTACCGACATGAAATCTATTATGTTTTTCTTATCTTTTTACCACACCTTATGGGTTAGTCCATTGAAATTGTTGGTATCAATCGGGTTATTGTGGGCACAGTTGGGTGCGGCCAGTCTGGCGGGTGTGATCTTCATGGTTATTATTGTGCCCATCAATACTTATAAAACAGCAATACAGGGCCGCCTCTGGACTGAACTCCGGAAGCTTAGAGGCGGTCGGGTGTCCGCTATTACCGAGATTTTAAACCACATAAAAGTGTTGAAGTTATACGCGTGGGAACAGTGTTTCATTGATAAGGTGACGGCCCTAAGGGACAGGGAGGTAGACGTGTTAAACCAGACCTTTAGGTCTACTGTTTGGACCACTTTTATGTTTAACTCGATCGGAATTGTTGTATGTTTTTATAATGTTGTGTTTTATTAATTATAATTGTTTATAATTTTTACCATTATTTTATTTATAGGTAACAATAATTAGTTTTACAACATTTACGCTAATCTCTGACCACAATGTTTTGGACCCGAATAAGGCATTTGTCTCCCTATTGTTGTTCACTATAATAGGTTTGGTATTTATAGTTAACATCCAATTTAAACTACATTATTGATCACATAATTATTACACCTAGGTGGACAAATTCAAATCTTACCACAAGCTTTATCAACCGGTCAAAAGGTTAGGTGCATTAAATACACATCATTTAAATTTAAACAACCTTGACGCAAAACTTGACACAATATTTTGATTAATTTAATGATTTATTTATTTAAAATAGATTTCGATAATCATTAAGAAAATGAATGTTTATTTAAACGCTAATGAAGTGAATGAGAGTTTCGTTGACCACAAACCCAATCAAAGGACTCCTATTGTCGTCAAAAACGGATCATTCAAATGGGATAACAATTGCAACGATTCTGTGCTCAAGAATATCAATATAGAGATAGAGAGGCAGTCATTGGTGGCAGTTGTGGGTCGTGTGGGCGCCGGCAAGTCGTCCCTATTATCGGCTCTA